TGCCAGCTTCTGCAATTGGTGGAGAACAGGCGAGTGCCCCGCCAAACCCAACCTCCCTGCAAAGTCCCAGTATCCACTGCGAACAAGACTGTAATAGCTTTCGTTTATGACTGATCCATGAAGGCCATGGAACCCCTCAAGTTTCAGGATGCACCGTGATTTCTTCACTCTAGACTTACTTGCCTTCAGCGATTTCAGTAATGATTCCAAACCATCTGGTAATGCATCCGACGCTGACATAGCCTATCCAAGGGTGAATGAATACTACTCTACCTATCTCTCTATCTTATCATTACCTTCCCTATCCTACTCAAACATGTCCGTACAATTGTCCAACGTGAAGCCCATAGCCCACGTCATCACCTACTGCCGAGGGCCGCACTCACATCCAGTACTGAGTTGGGAACTCAGAGAGCTGAAGAATCTGCCGGGAAAGGACTGACTATTAATTCCGATTTGTCAACTTGGGGGAAGGCGATCGGTCCATATCCTCCGTTTCGCGGATTCACATTTTCTGGAATCCTCCGATCCCCTCAGTAGGCAAAGCCAAGTGATATATTTCGACTTACCTATTCGTTTTTGAGGATTCTCCTATTCTACAACAGCTCTGTGGACACCAGGGCACTTCGAACGCAAACGAATCCACAGTAGGGGCAGGGTAGCAGCGTGATAAGTGAAATAGCGGTGCCAGTACGACCCCCCACCTAACTGTGGGTCTCGGCACGACTCCCCACCTTTTCGCAGCTTCTAAATGCCGATTTTCCACATGATTTTCCGTCGAGCGCGGCGGGGTACATAGCCAGTGTGAAACGGGAAAATTTCTTAGATCCCCTCAGTCTTCCACACTTTTTCCTTTTCCAATTTCCTTCTTTTGCCCAAAAATTTTGTTGTCGAGCGTGACGGCGGACAGAAGAGGTAAGTATTACACATGAAACAGGAAATGTCACGCGAAAAATCAACAACTGAGAGAAATTTTTCCCAACGTAGCAAATTGTCGCTTAAAGGCACATACGACCCTCCCTCCCCAGCTGAAAATGTACGACAGCCTATGTGATTTACACATCGATACTGTACCCTGCCTGGAGGTCGTATTCGATTGCTAGAGGGAGGGGCATTTTGCACTTTGGCGAAAATCAAAACTCTCCCCCCCCCCCCCTCTTTCGATTCCAACTACGTCGATACTTCTTAACCATTTTGAGTGAATACTTCTGTAGTGCCACACCGACACACAACTTTTTTATTTGGAACTAATGAGTCCCGGTACATTCCATATAATACACTCTACAAGCTAAATGTGAAAGCACTAATACCTTACTCTTGAAATATTACATAAACAACAGACCCGAAAGAGCAGCGATGATTATGATCGAGAAGAATTTTCAACAGCAACACAGATTTTAGTAGAAAAAAATACAGAATCGTGTACACCTAATTGAGTAACACAGGCCTACACAAGACGACTTAGCTAAGCTCAAAACCGGTTTCTGAATGAATTGCGTAGCGAAGTTTCGATAGCAGCACTGACTTCTTGTTGTAGTTCGGTAATTTCAGCAGGTTAAAGCAAGTCGAGGCTAAAATCAATCCTATATTACGTTCACTTGAGAACAGAATAAATAGGATTGTATGGAGTTCATAATATTCAATACGGGGCGGGACGCACAAGCCTGATCAGCGCGCTTCACAAGATACAAGGGCCTCAAGGTCTCACCAAAAAATGGTCTGTGAAACTAGCAAAAGAAACCAGTGAAAGTCCAAAATATCCCTTCCCGAAGCCGAACAACGCCTGCAAAGATGGGAGTTGCGATGAAATCCCAAACTGTTCATTCAGTGCTATTCCAGCTCTGCCATATTAGCTACACAGCTGTACTTGGTTGGTTTTACTACCACCCAGCCGGTGCTAGTTCGTGTATACGTCATATCAGTTCCTGGATGTATAAACCAGACACACATACAAGGACCGCAGCTTAAGGTCCATCAAGTGTAGCTAGTCTCGAAAACGGTTTTCTTTTGAGGCTGCCTTCACACTTCATGTATGTGAAGAATATGTGACGAATCGGGATTGCGCGATCAAGGATCAGATGAGAGTCTATCGACTCCTCCCTCCAGCGAATCGCACACTCACACTCCCGAAATCTCCACTTCTCCAAAGCACATTTCCAGTAATAAAATATAAAAATTTTCCTGGAGAGCTCGCGCGATAAAAATAGTCGTCAACAATTTTTTTCAGAATAGTAGCAAAGGAGATTCAAAATGAGAAATGAAAAAGATCTACTAGATGAGATACTAACCAGTTGGCAGACGTGATGACGACTGACTTTTCTTGAGCGCTAGAAATCCTCGTACAACGCTTCCTAAGGTATCGCCTTGATCCTGAAACATAACAGTAATGATCACATAATAGCCATCGCCTTTTTCATGTTTGGGAGAGAAACGTTCGGGAAGGGGAGGGGAACAACCAACAACATTATAGTATGGTAGAATACCATGATATAATGATGGCTTTTCATGAGTGTTACATGTAAAATGCTTCAAAACTTTTGGAGACTTCTTAAGTGTACCTTTTTAGCATTGCAGTCAATTAGCAATCATCAAATTGGTTTCAGGTGTAATATCAATTTTACTCAGACTCACCTGATCATCAGAAACTTCTACACATCGTATCGAAAATGGAGGCTCGAGGTAGGAAAAACCGAGCAAAGGTGGACGTGAGCAACTCGTAACGAACTTAACAACGGACATTGCTCGAACTATTTATAAGCGTAGGACACCTCTAAAATGTCAGCGCCACCTACCACCACTTCATTGTCGATTGACTTCCATTATGATAATTCCGCCGTAATCCTGTCACATCTTTTTAAGGTCACAAGGTCGATATTCACTGAATTCAGAGATATGCTTATACTGTATTGAAAGTCGACTCTATACGACCCCCCCAGCCCTCTGTCCTTCCTCATCGAATCGAGCCGTCGAGCGGGCGGGGAGGGGGAGGGGCATATAGTACGCATGAAACAGGAAAATCACCAAAAGTCAACCGCCACTCCCACAACGCCAAAACGTACGACCCCCCTCCCAAAAATGATCAAATACGACCCCCCCCCTCCCTTTACAACGTCCATGAAGCGAGAAAAATCAACTATCAAAATAAATTTTTCTCAGCCCAAATACGACCCCCCTCCTGGCGACCAAATACGACCCCCTATTGGGGATTCCCAACAACGATGTGCCCTGCTTTAAATTATGGGTGTCGAGCATTACTTCTCAGTCGCTGCATCGCACGCACTAGCGCACTAGCGTCTGTGGCCATCTAGTCAACTAACTATTTCCTAGTTAGTTGACTAGATGGCCACAGACGGTTACAGGACTCTTGTCAACCGGACATGTTCTCGCTACGAGGGGCCAGAGGTATTTTTTCATCCCATCTACTGGTCCAGCAGTTGAAGGGAGAAGGGAAAGAGGAGGGAAGAGAAGGAAGGAAGGAAAAGAAGGAAGGAGGAAGAAAAAAAGAAGGAGTAGGGAGGCTCCGCGGTTGACAATTATCCTGAGACGGCCGTAGACATAGAACTAGTTGACGTGCGAGACGCAAAGAAAGTCAAAGGAGTCGACGCACTGTCACGCTGAGCAGATTGGGTCCTAGCGAATGTAGCGCCCGTGACCTGCTCGCAACGTATTCCGCGACTGAGAAGGAGCGCTCTGCACCA